TTGAAAAGTTAGTTATTTAATATTATGTTGCCTTTGCTCTGTGTCATTTTCATCTTTTATACTTGGGAATGATAGATCCCAAGTATATATCAGAAGCGTGACTGTTTCAGAAGCATGGAAACATAGTTATGAGTTTCTCATACATACTTAACCTAAATACTAACCTGTTTTTATCAATTCTATCTGACCAGATAACATACAAACAGAAATTTCACAAATAAATAATTTTAAAATTCTTACCCGTGGAAGTTAGATGCCTTTAATATTTTTAATATTCTACTTGGTATAGATAAATAATTCTCCAATATCAGAGAACAGCAGTGCAAATTAAACAATAAATGGCAACTGATGCTCAGACTGGGATGGGGTTTGCGGGGGACAGGAAAACAATAGGAAGTGGTGGGACCATGCCCTGCAGGCAACAGGGCTTTTCTAAATGGGATTGCAGCTTCCCAGCTGCACCCAAGGTGTCTAAGCCCTTAGGCCCTGGTGCCAGATAGCCTGGGTCTGCAACCCAGCTCCACCACTTCTTAGCTCTCTGATAAGTTACTCAACCTTTCTGTGCTTCAGTTTTCTCTTACTTAAAGTATGAACCATAAAAATCAAGTTGTTACTTAGATTAAATTTGTGAAGTGCCTGGAACACTGCCTGGTTCATAGTGTTAGCTAGTATCTAATTATAGCAATGTGGGTCCAGGTTACCACAGCTTGATTTTTCCTTTTTGCTTTTTAAAAATTTTATTTATTTAATTTTGGCTGCATTGGGTCTGCTGCTGCGCACGGGCTTTCTCTAGTTGCGGCGAGCGGGGGCTACTCTTCGTTGTGGTGCACGAGCTTCTCATTGCGGTGGCTTCTCTGGTTGCGGAGCACGGGCTCTAGGCACGCGGGCTTCAGTAGTTGTGGTGCACGGGCTCTAGAGCGTAGGCTCAGTAGTTGTGGCGCGCGGGCTTAGTTGCTCCGCAGCATGTGGGATCTTCCCAGACCACGGTTCGAACCCGTGTCCCCTGCACTGGCAGGCGGATTCTTAATCACTGTGCCACCAGGGAAGTCCCTTGATTTTTCATAGAAGGGGAAATTCAGGTTATTATGTGATATTTCTCAACATTTGGAATGTTGTCTTGTATAAAGCAAAGTGTGACATTATGGGCTGTGACTGTGCAACCCCTCTGAACTGTGCTGTCTTTCCTCCAATCTCATCAGCTCTCAGAACTACCTGTTGACAAGGGTATGTTGACAGCGCTACCCACCAGTTCTCTGAGCCCCAGAATTGTGTGCACAGATGCCTGTTTAATGTCTTCAGGTAGATGTCTTAAACTTAAAATGTCCCAAGAATTCTTGATTCACTCACCACTACTCCCAACATAGAAAATCTGTTCTCCCTTCAGTCTCTCTCCTCTCAGTAAATGGCATCACCATCCACCATCTGCCGACTCCAGTAACCGGTCCCCCTCGGTTCTTCTCCTAATCTTCTCCTTCCAGTGCAGGGGGCCTGGCCAAGGAGGGGCCTGAAATCCAATCTCCAGCTGTGGGCTCCACTGCAGGGTACCATCTGCTTGAAGGCTGGGGCTGATTTTTCTCACTTTCCTCGTCTTCCAGTTCATTACCGAGTCTCTCGGTATTTTCCCCACAATTCTTGAATCTTTCTGCTTCCCTCCATCTCCGCTGCCCACTGTAAGGTACCCTCATTTTTCACCTGGATGATGAAATTGCTTTCCAACTGTGTTGCTGCTTCTTCGTTCACACACCCCTCCAGTCATTACCCACCCATTTGCTAGGTCGAATATATTACCTTAAAAGGGCAAGTTGAGTACATTACTCCCTTGCTTAAAACACTTTGATGACTTCCTGTTGTTCTTAAGGTAAAGATAAAAATCTTAACACCACCTACCTGCGCGATCTTGTTCTTGCCTGACTCAGCCCCAAACCCAGCCACTCTGCTCTTAAGTTACCCTGAACTTCTCCCACTTTGTCTTAGGCTTTATCATGACCTGACAGCTCCTACTGCTTTCAGTTTCACTTAATATTTTTTCAGGGAGGCTTTTTCTACCTCCATATTAAATTTGGTCTCCTTGTGCTGTGCTCTCTTAGCACCCTGCCCATTTGCTTCATAGAGCTTATTTCTGTTACTGAAATGTACACACTGTGTGCATATGTATACAAATCCGTAGCTGTTATTTCTCTTTAATGATGAAAACTTTCTTGTGGGCTTTCATTCCTGTTGGAGAGTGGGCTAAATTTAAGCTTGCCATACTACTCAGCCATAAAATTTCACTCAGCCATGAAATTTTGCCATTTGCAGCAACGTGGATGGACTTGGAGGGCATTATGCTAAGTAAGATAAGTCACACAGAGAAAGACAAACACTGTATGATATCATTTATATGTGGAATCTTAAAAATACAACAAACTAGTGAATAAAACAAGAAAGAAGCAGACTCATATAGAGAACAAACTAGTGGTTACCAATGGGGAGAGGGAAGGGGGAGAGGCAATATAGGGGTAGGGGGGAAAAAGGGTTATTATGGAATTACATGAAATCACGTGTGTGAAACTTTTGAAAATCGTAAAGCACTATAGCATTTCAAGAATCTTTCATTTGATTAAAAAAGTACTCTGGAAAAACAAACAAAAAAAACTTGCCAGTGAAAATTATATGGTCTTAAACCATCTCATTTTGGGTAAATATTCAGTCAATTGAAAGTTGTAGTCCTATCAAAACTTACCCCTCCCCACTCTTTTTTTTTTTTTCATCTTTTTTTTTTTTTTTTTTTTTTTTTT